TTCGGTTCTTGCATTTTCGAGTCTTGTCCACGCCGAGACATTGCAGTGAATGGCTGGCCGCCCACCAGCCGTCGCCAACACCCTTGGACCTCCCTCTCACCTGTTCAGCCACCACAGCCCCGGTTTAAATCCAGATCAGCCCTCTCTCTCTCTTTTTCTCTCTTCCCGTTCTGTAAACAGTACCACCGGAGCTTCGCCGGAGCTCCGATCGCCGTTCCGTCGACACCCAGCCATCCAGCACGTCCATACGTCGCCGCCCGAGCGCCGTCCGTCACGGTGTCCGTACGGTGCTTGTTCACCGTCCGTATGGATCATTCCTTCACGCCGGACCGTACGGACGTCGCGTGGCCATCACGGCACCTCGCCTGGCCACCGTCCCCACTACGTCCGTACGGTGTCCGTACGAAAATCTTATTCACGCCCCGTCCGTCGCCGTCGCAGCTGCTGCCACTGTGTCCGGCTCGTTCCGGCCCAGTTCGTCTCGCCTTTTTGGGTAAGTGTTTTCCCCAAATGTCATTTAGGAGTTCGGGTATCGTAGGGCATGTTTAGGGTTTAGTTCGGGTAGTTCATGTGGCTATTTTAGGACTAAATTGAAGGCTGATTGTGTGGTTATTGTGGGCTGAATCGGAGACTGAGTTGGCAAGGAAATTTGCGAGGTTTAGGAGGCTCGATGATGGCTGAGGTGTTGTGGATTGATTGTGACTGAATTGTGCGATTGATTGGTAGAATTATGCCTTGAATGGCACTTTGTATGTGGTTGTGTGGCTCGTGATGGTTGGCTGGTTTGGTGTGTGTTTCGGACTGAATGTGGCTTGGCCGTGTGCCTCGTGTGTGTGGCCGTGAGGTGTGTGGGTATGGGAGTGTGATGAATTCGCGTGCCAAGAGCGTGTAGTTAAGTGGTGCGTGTTCGTGTGACGAGAATGCGAAATTATGGAATGTGTGTGAAGTGTGTATGTTTGGCAGTGTGTTTGTGTGGTGGCGTGGTACGTGTGGAGAGTGTGGAACGAAGGTTTGGAAATGTGGGATTGGTTGGAAAGGATCCGTCCTGAGGCGTGTTCGTTTACGCGAGACGATGCTGTCCCTGACGAGGTGACGATGCCCGACCCGACGGGATGTCGATGCCTGACGTGGTCAGAAGACCGTTGGCCTGATGCGTTTTACGCGGGCGCGGTAGAAGGAAAGTGTGTGTAGGATTCCGTCTTGAGGCGTGTACGTTTACGCGAGACGATGCCGTCCCTAACGAGGTGACGATGCCCGGCCCGACGGGGTGACGATGCCTAACGAGGTCAGAAGACCGTTGGCCTGATGCTTTTTACGCGGGCGCGGTAGTGGTGGAAAGGTTGAAAATGAGTGGGATTTGGCAAGACAAGCGAGAGGATTGTGGAAAGTGACGCATGGTGTGAGTAGCGTGCGAGTGTGTTTGTATCGCGCGATGTGATACTTAATTATGGGGTAGAAACTGCTAGGCACGGTATGGGACGTGCCCAAGTGGTTTCTATCTTATAATTAAGGCACGCGCGCGTCTGTGATTCCTTGCTGTGATGTGTTGGCTGTGTTATTTTCTAATGTGCAGGAACGTGCGTGATGGATTCCAGGTAGGGTCGCATGTGATTGTTAATTTGGCCGATTGTTGTGTGTTATATGTGTTTTCGTCTGGCGGTACGTGAGTGGCTACGTGGGGTTTGGGGTTGTACACTTATTGAGATTCGTCTCACGGTTGTATAACCGCCACTTTCAGACCCCCGGCCCTAAACCCAGGAAGTGCGCCTTTTCTTTTTGGAAGTCCGGGGAGCTGCTATTGGTGCCCAGTGGAGCTGCAGGTGAGTTCCAGAGATTCAAGCCAGAAATTCAGAAGCAGAATGGAAGAGGGCGACCCTTAGGTTTTTCCCTAGGGTGTTTTAGGGATTGTATAACTTGGGTTATCCGATAGTGAAGTTAAGATAACCAAACCCCTGAACTTTTGTTTAAACGGTGACTGAGGATGTTAGTCTGTATTTATGTCTGTAATATGATGTTTGTATATTTGGTGTTGTATGAATATGTGGTTGCTTGATTGTTCTGTTGTTCTACCCCGTTGTCGTCATTATTTGTCCGGGGTTTTGTTATTCGCTTCCGCATGTGGAAATGATGTTTGGGTTGGGTCGGCGACGTTCCTGGGACGTCGCATCATTTCAACCGGAGCAGGGGATGTCGCGAGCTCGTTGGGGTTCGGGGCGTGACATGATGCGAGTCAATTATTAAATGGCCTCATGTATGAACAAGACAGTAAAAAATGAATAATAATCATCCAAAAATCATAAATGTAAGGACCCGGGGTCTACACTGTGTAATATTGTCCGCTTTGGGCTCACTGACCCTCACGGCTTTAAAACGCGTTGTCTTGGGTAGAGGCGCTCTCTGGCCCTTCCTCCCCCAAGCCCAATATTGTCCGCTTTGGGGCGCTCTCTGGCCCTTCCCCTCAAGGCTTTGTTCTCATCATGCGCAGCGGAAGCAAGCCCATGTGAAACGCGTTGTCTTGGGTAGAGGCGCTCTCTGGCCCTTCCTCCCCCAAGCCCAATATTGTCCTCTTTGGGGCGCTCTCTGGCCCTTCCCCTCAAGGCTTTGTTCTCACCATGGGCTTGCTTCCGCTGCGCATGATGAGAACAAAGCCTTGAGGGGAAGGGCCAGAGAGCGCCCCAAAGAGGACAATATTGGGCTTGGGGGAGGAAGGGCCAGAGAGCGCCTCTACCCAAGACAACGCGTTTCACATGGGCTTGCTTCCGCTGCGCATGATGAGAACAAAGCCTTGAGGGAAAGGGCCAGAGAGTGCCCCAAAGAGGACAATATTGGGCTTGGGGGAGGAAGGGCCAGAGAGCGCCTCTACCCAAGACAACGCGTTTTAAAGCCGTGAGGGTCAGTGAGCCCAAAGCGGACAATATTACACAGTGTAGACCCCGGGTCCTTACAATAAAAGTCCATAAACATCTGCATCCTAGACGTTAAAATTTCCCACATGTTAACATCCTCTTCTTGCATGAAATTAAACAACATGCTAACCCAAGGAGATGGTCATTTCGAATCTGAAAAAATGTGGAGTCTCCACTTGGTTTCTTACTCGATGCACTCACTTGGGGTTCGGTCATAAGAAAGTAATTTCTGACGAATCCTCTAGTGTCGTGGATGGCCTGTCTTTAACTAAATTGGAGAGGTAGACTTAATTTGATCTAAAAAAACTGATTTGTAATATCACCTAATCGCTATTTCAAAAGAAAGGAAACAAAAGAATGTACAGGCGCCAAGTTTGCTCCAAAGGAGCCTAAGATAGAGTAGAGTTTGTTGCCTTGAGAATATTTTCGAGGCTTTAAACATGGGCAAACGGTACAAAAGTAAAAGTCTTTTCTTTGCCCTTGAGACATATATTCTAGAAATTCATTGGAACAGAACTCCATCAAATTCGGTGGGATTTACGTGAGATAAATCAAATTTCAAGATTCATATTCAGTTTAGTGTGTTATTTATGTTAATCAAATAATTTCTCGTGAATTGCCTATTGGCCATTGTGATTTATTTTAAGGGAGCATGGGCGTCACGAAATTTTTTCAACAAAAAAAATTTGAGGTTGGGACCTCACATTGCTATAAATACAAGCAAATTGCATGTGTTGCATGTATGCAAATTTGACATGTAAAATATTTTGCGCTTATGTTATGAAACATTTGAATTATTAATTAGGAAAAAAGTCACAAAAAATCATGCTTATCGTGACATATTTACCTTAAATTTTTTTTGACACCATAAATCCAAAACTTGTACTTGTGTGACACACATATCTTAATTTTTCTTTTTTCTGTAACACCAACAATTCCAAATTTGTACCCGTGTAACACATTTACCCAAACTTCTACCTGTGTGACAAGTTTACCAAAAATTTGCATTTTTGTGACATATTTACCCTCCGTCAAAATTTTGTCAATGGACACCACTAAAAATCTTATGTGGCTACCTATATGGACGACGAAAAGGAAACAGTGCTGGCGCGGCACTCACGTGACAAAGATATGTCAACCAATTGAATGTTTTTTTTTCTCATTTTCTTTTTCCTTTTTTAACTTCCTCTTTCGTTTTCTTCCTTAGTTTCACGACGGTGGAAATGGCGGTGGTAAGGATGGTGGCGGCAGGGAGGGCGGAGACGAAGATGAAGGAGGAAGGGAAAAAAAGGTTAAAAAAAAATTCTTGAAGAAGGATAAATGTGTGGCACGGGTTTGAGTTTGGGACTTTTGGTGTTATAAAATATAAGTTTGGGGTAAATGTGTTACATGGATACAAGTCTGGAGTTTTTAGTGTCACTTAAAAAATTTTGGGGTAAATGTGTCATAGTGGGCATAATTTAGGATTTTTTATTGTTTTTACGCTATTAATTAATATGTAGTAATGATTGACATATGTATGTGAAAAGAGTAAATCCTAGCGAGAGGATCAATTGAGACAAACTAATTAATTCATAATTGTCTTTTTGCGATAATTACTACTTTGGAAAAAAGTGGTTCTGCTAAAATTTTCTTTTTATTTTCTTAGTTTTATAAAACGACTCTCTGAAAAGGCAAAATACAATACAAATGAAGGCCTTTTATTTTCTAACAAAAATGGGGATATGTGCACTAGAAATTTTAAAACTTGTCATGAAAGTGCTATTTAGTGCTAAAACTTATAAAAAATGCAATGAAATCCTAAAACTTGTGAAATTGGTATAATCAAGTCCTTCCGTTAATTCCGTCCAAATTGGCTGACGGAAAATGCTGACATGACTTTTTTTTTTATTATTTTCTCTCTTATACGTGGGGTTGACGTGGCTAATTGAAGAAAAATAAGGCTAAAACGACATTGTTTAGATCCAAATATGATTTTTTAATCTTATTATTTATTAAATTAACTTTTGTCACAAGCTTTAGTTTTCAATGCACGTATAAAAAAAAAGGCCCTTTTGTTTGTCGCCGTTACTATATAGTGAGGAGAGGGGGAGGACGTGTTTTCATCGTTTTGCCCCAATGGCTGGTTCGCCTTCTCAACTTCCACGCTCCGTGCCTCCAAAATCTGACGAAGAAAAGAGTTCGACCAAAGAAGAGGTCCTCTCTATCTCCTCTCTCCTCTCTCTTCTCTCCCTGGGCTCTCGTGTTCGTTTCGTCGTTCTTTTGGTTCTCGATATCATAGTATTTTCATTAGGGTTTCGACATTCTTGATTGCAACAAAAAGTGAGAACACGGTCATGTTTTACCCCATCCTTGTTGAAACTGGAAAATCAGTGCGATCAGGAATTTTTTTTCTTTTTTATTCGTTGCCGTTCCATTTAAGATATTGCTTGGTGAAGATCTAGTTTCAAGCCAGTGGTTAAATTTATTTGGACAAAAAGTTCAGAGGCTTTGTGATGGACCTGTGAAGGTCTAGTTTCGAGCACTTGCTGTTCAAAACAGATAACCAAATATATCCCGGTTTTTTCGGTTTCTTTTTCGACTTTGTTTTGTTCATTATATTGATGTTGATTCTGTTAGCTGTTTGTTGTCGTCTTCAGGACTCGGCTAGGATGAAAGTAAATATCCAAATCTTATTGACTCCGAAAAGCTTGCTGGTCGAAGTGAGGAATCGGGATACCGTTCAAGAGGTTAAATTAATGATTCAAGCCAAGGAAGGGATTCCGCTGGATGAGTTCAATCTGGTATTCGGGGTAAAGTTGCTTGCGGAGGACAGGACCTCGCCTCGCTCGACTTGCAGCAAGAGCCCACATTTTATTTGGTTCTCCATCCCAAAGATGATGTGTCAGTTATTGTGAACATGTCCAATCACAGAGTCACAATAGGAGCTAAATTTTGGTACACTGTGGGTCATGTCAAAGCTTTGACCATAGCAAAGATGTGTGTGCTGGTCATGAGTTTGCATATGCTTTATCAGGGGAAGCAGCTTGAGCTTCTTACGACATTGTCGATGGCTCTGTCTTATAATTGGTGTCTGACACGGCCATGGAAGTGAAGAACTAGCTTCTTCATAAGGTGAGTGTGCTGGCCAACTCGCATGATATTGCTTATGCGGGAAAAGGGCTTGCCGATGACCATGACCTGGCGAGCTATGGCATCCCAGAGAATTCGACTCTCTTTGAGATTATCTCACCTCGTAGTATCTGAAATGCCTTGAGTTTGTAATACTGAGTGATCAGGATTATGGTTCTGACTTGGCTTTTGAATTAGAAGGAATTTTGAACAGAAAGCTGGAAATTAGTATTTTTATGCACCTGATGCTAATTTTATTGGTATGTCATTAGTACATCATGTGTGGCGAAGGTCCCGTGTATATCTCTGTTCCCTTACATTGGATATGTGGACATCGTAGAATCACAGCAGTACATTATATTGCTGGTTATTCAGTTTGATAAATGTTGTTTGCTGAAAGTTTGATCTATGACCTACCTAATTCAGTAGAAGCACCTTGAAAAACTTTTACTTTTGATCAGCAGCACCAGAGAGAACTTGGAGGTAGGTCTGGTTTTTCATTTAGTATAGTTGTTTCGTGATTGTTAAGAATTTCTGGAATCAATTTGTGCGAGCAAAAGTTTGAGCACATGATGGTTTTCTTATATATGATTTCGGATATCATTGTTTGGAAAGAAATGTACCCACGACAAAAGTGGTAAGACAATGACGAGTCAAGAAATCTTTTGCGGGCAGATGGTCGGTTATTGTTTGTATTCTGGTAATATGCATTTATACACCATTTCGCGTCTGTAAACTTACCTCTATTTAGAAACCAACTCTTTTATAAGTTAATAGCTTGATTACTTGCATTAAGTTACTTCGCTGATTCTTTTCCCATTGAAAATTGGGTTTACTAGTTTAACCGCCTGACTTGTTGATAGGAGTTGCGAATGTTGCTCGAGTCTGTTCTTAACCCCATGTTTCGTGTTTGGGCCCGGGGAATCTTAAGCGCACACATTCAGTTGTTGTCAATGGTTGAAACATGGCACCCTCAAGTTGAGTTACATGTCTTGATGGAAGTCTGAGTCTAGAAATCTTTCATTCCGTGAGTCTTCGAGCGCTCTCGTGGTCTTCGTGAACCTACCAATGTATCCATCTCCACTGACCCAAATTCTAGCAGAAAATGTCCTTAGAACAAGAAACTCAACAAGAGGGACAACCTGGTTTCGGAAGATTTTGTTCAAGTCTTTACAATTTGCATATACACTAATCACTGATCACTTTTCCCCTTTTCCCTTCTTCGGTCGCTTTGGTAACTGTGCTGAGATGACTCTGAATCTTCTTTAGTCCTTGTCCATGTTCGGACCCCGATCCATGACAGCCTTTAATTTCCGCCTCTGTGATTGCTTCGACACCAAGGTGGCACCATGTGAGGGTGACTGTACCCCAAGACCCAAATTCTGGTTTCTTCTAGAATGTCGGGTGGGGCGCGATAATTCTTGAGGTGGGGCATCAGCGGACGTGGCAGATTTGCGGCGCCGCCTCAGATGCTTTGGTCATGTTGCGGACACGATCGGTTGGGACGCGCTTCTTGTTTCAATTATTTCTTTGCCAGTCAATCAAAACAAGTAATATGACCCCGGATAATTTGGTAAAACAACTTAAAATAAAAACGAGCTGTGCCAAAAGTCCTCCACACAGGTCCAACCCCACCCGTCAGACATCATTAAGTTCCTCCGTCTCATCTATGACATCTTGGAGTGCGAGTCGCCTCTCACGACCATGCTTCTCGAGCACAAGCTCATCCGAGAGACAGCATCCCTCGACCTATGCTTGCAAGTTATAGCAATTGTTAGACCATGCTTCTCGAGCACACTTGGTACACCGACACCCGAGCCACTCATCATCTCACCCCGGAACTCGAAAATCTCCAAATTTCAACTCCTTATGATGATAATGAAGGTAATGGCTAGGGGTGTGCAACCGGACCGGGTTTACCCGGGAACCGGACCGGCCCACCCGGAAAACAGGTCCGGGAACCGGTTCTTGTTTGAACCGGTCCGAGAATCGGTTCTATATTTTTGGAACCGGTTGAAACCGGTCCGGTTCCCGGGTCCAAGTGAAAACCCACCCGGACCGGTTTTTAGAACCGGTTTTAAGTTACTGTAAACAAAGTAAAAACCCTAACATCAGACTCTCACTTCTCAGTCTCGAGTCTTGACTCTTTTTCAGTTTGCGAGCGATTCCCCTTCCTTCTTGCCCTTCTCAGTCTGCTCGCAAGAGCTCGTCGCCACGGCTGCTCGCCGCTCGTCGCCACGGCTTGGCTCGTCGCCGCGGCTGCTCGCCGCTCGTCGCCGCGGGCTGCTCGACGCTCGTCGCCGCGGCTGCTCGCCGCTCGTCGCCGCGGGCTGCTCGCCGCTCGTCGCCTCTGACTGCTCGCCGCTCATCGCCGCGGCTGCTCATTGCTGCAACCCAACTCATCGTCGCGGCTGATCGCTGTCTCAGTCCCCGCAACCTAGCTCGTTGCCTCTCGTCGCCACGGCTCGCAAGAACGCAACCCCTCTTGTCGCCTCTCGCCTTGTTGTGGCCGACTCCGACGCAACTATCGAGAGAAAGGTGAGTCCGCAATTGAATTTTTTTTGGTACTTTTTTGTTAGGTGACGAGGTTTTTGTTGTAAAATTTTTCGGACGGAGGGGGGAAAAGGGACTAGGGGTTCAAACAAATTTTTGATAATTCTCGTTGTAAAATTTTTCTGTTTGATTTGTGCTGCATTTGAGAGGAAAGAAGGGAATGCTCCTTGTGAGTAGTACAATTCTTGCGATTTTCGAGTTCTTGTTCGATGTGTTTTGGTGCTGTGTTTTTGTGGTGATTGTTGTTTGCTTGTGGGGGGGTTGTGTTCGGGATGGTGGGCGACTGTATTCTCTTGACTTTTTGGGCCATCGTTCAAGCTGTGTGTTCGTTTGGTGGGGGTAAGCTCTAGGGTATCCATGGCGGTTTGGTCGGTCTGATTGTGCTGCATTTGAGAGAAAAGAGAAAACATGCTGCGTTTGGTGGGAGCATGCCAATTGCTGGACAGTGCTTGTGGATTGTTTATTTTGCTTCAAATTTCTGAAACCAGAAAAAGGAAAAAAAAAAAAACAGGTTATCGGGTAGATCCTGAAACCGGATCGGAAAAACAGAGTAGGTTCCAAAACAGGGTTTAGGGAAAACAGGGTAGGTTCCAGGTTTCAAAAATTGAGAACCGGTTATAACAGGGTAGGTTCCAGGTTCTAGGTCTGGACCCTACCCACCCTGGAACCGATCACCGATCACCCCTAGTAATAGCCACGGTATGCCCATTGCAAATGTTGGTTCCACTACCCTTTCATCCTTTTCATCACCTCTTCACCTCAAATATATATTTCATTGTCCCACAGCTTCATACAATTTACTCTTTGTTTACCAATTTTCCAAAGATAACAATTGTCTCTTTAACTTCGATGTCTCTGGTTTTTGTATTAAGGACAAGGCCACGGGGAGGATACTATATCAAGGGCCCAATTGAGAACGGCTTGATTTGCAAGGAAACAGTGTTCATGTCCCAGCCTCCGGGCTATGTTGATAAGGGCAAACCTAATCATGTCTGTCACATGAAGAAATCCATTTGTGGCCTCCGTCAAGTCCCTCGAGCCTAGTATAAAAATTTTAATTCAAAACTTCATGATTTTGGATTCACCGTCTCCAATTCCGATCCATCATTGTTCATCTTCCACCAAGAGCATATAACCGTATATTTCCTCTTGTACTCTGATGATAGCATACTCACTGGCAATGCTACTTTAGCGTCGCAGCAATTGATCTCACATCTTGGCCATCATTTCCATATGAAGGATCTCAAACCTCTTTCTCATTTTCTTGGTGTTCAAATAACACGTAATTCGGAAGGCATACAACTTAATCAGTCGAAGTATATTATGGATGTTCTAAAGCATGCAAATATGGACGGATGTAAATCAGTCCCAATGCCTGCTGTGTCTCAAAAACTTGGCCACGGTGATGGCCCTCCATTATCGGATCTCACTCTTTATCAGAGTCTTGTTGGAACGCTACAGTATGTTACTTTGACGAGTCCTGACATTTCCTTTGCCATCAATCAAGTTTGCCAATTCCTAAAGTCTTCCACTGAGAATCATCTTGTGGCTATCAAACGAATTTTGCATTATTTGAAAGGCACAATCACTCACAATCTTCACTTTCGTCCAGGCCAACACCAGCTCACTGCTTATTGCGACGCCGACTGGGCAGGTTGCCCCATCGATCGACGCTCTACTGGTGGGTTCTGTATTTTCTTCGGTTCTAACCCCATTTCTTGGAGTGCAAAGAAACGTGCTGAGTACCGGTATCTAGCTCACACTGCAGCTAAATTAGTTTGGCTATGTTCCTTGTTATGTGAATTGCATTGCTCACTCCTTACGCCACCCACCATATGGTGTGATAAGGTTTCTGCAATCTCTCTCACCTACAATCTAGTTTTCCATTCAAGAACGAAACATGTCACTATCGATTTTCATTATGTCCGGAACTAGTTGGGCGTAAGATTCTCACTGTTTAGTTCATCTCCAGCAAAGATCAAATTGCAGATTTGTTCACAAAAGGTCTAAGTTTTAATCGCATCAATTTTTTGCAGAGCAAGCTTCACCTTCAGCCAACCGTGCTCAACTTGAGGGGGGATGATAACATATCATCCTAAAATCTTTTGGGATAATTTCCTCGATTTTTAAAATTCTTTCCTCAATTTGAGGATACTTTCCTTGATTTAAGGAATCAATTTTGCCCTCATCATGTAACTATGTATCTATTTAAACGTATTATGTACATCAATAGAAGAACAAGAAAAATCTAAAAATTCAAAGCTTATTTTACTTTCTTTATTCAATGGCCAGAATTATAAGAAAGGTGAACTTGATCGTCAAAAGGTTGAAGCACAAATCGTGCACATTGGCTCCAAGATAATGCTTTGCCATAT